CTCTCTCTCTCTCTCTCTCTCTCTCTCTCTCTCTCTCTCTCTCTATATATATATATATATATATATATGGGTTCAGAGAAGAGAGGCCGAGCGCTCTTCCCTCCCATTTCTTTCCAAACGGAGCCAGTGTTCGAAAGCATTCTTCAACTGGTGCTTGAAGGCTTTCCGTCTGGCCTCCCTGACGCTCTGGCTGCTGCGTGTCCTCAGTGGCGCGCCACGCCACCCCTCTTTTGGGCCACGAATGACACATTTCAACAACGGAGTGAAGCGTCGCGCGCTCAGAGCGCGTTTCTCAACGCACCCATATGTTGACATGCTAAATCAGCAAACAGCGCAACATCGCATTATGAACGAAGCCCAAAGTTCTTGTTGAACATTGACCTCCATTGTACTTTGATTTTGTGAATGGTCTTTTGAGCCCACGGTCCACATATTTGAAGAAAATGTACCTTCAGCTTCTGCTGCTCTCTCATATTAGCGAGACCGCTAGCCAGAATCAATATGTTGCGCAGTGTCCGAAAACACCAAGTGGACCTAGTCACCTTTGGACGCACACACACACACACACACACACACACACACACACACACACACACGCACACACACATGCACACACACATTCAGTGTACACACACAGGAAGTTCCAATGTGTGTGCATGTCTGTGTACGTGCCGTGTTAAAAGTCAAGTGTCAATGAAGCAACTCACTTTCGACTTTTGCCTTGCGACTCGACTACTTCGGAGGATCATCTTATTTTGTGTGCGTGTGTGTGCGTGTGTGTCTGCGGCATGAAAGTGTGTGTGCTGTTTTTGTGTGTGTGTTGCGTGAGTTGGACGGTGAGGGCTCAGCAGGCCACAACGTGAGTTGATTTCCTTATTCCATTTATTGAATTAAAATGGACTAAATCTTTATCTCATATTCAAATGTTTTTTTAATGATTATTTTGTAAATTATGGGTTGCTCCTCAAAGGTGCAGAAGTGATCCCACCCTTTCATGACACACTTGTCTTGATGCAATTGGAATCACAGGAAAGGCATTCCAATGTTCCATTCACAAATACCGACGTGGCTCAGAAACGCCGGTGATAAGACAGATCCCTCTGGTGCATCGCAACAACATTGAGACCCTCCATTCAGTGACATTATTGTTCAAGAGAGCTTGAGTGACATTTACCGAAGAAACCACAAAAAAAGGAAGTCTGAAGACACGGAGATGAATTTGCATTTGTTTTGTTGGAAAAAGCCCATCTGAAGGAATTTGCTTCTTCACAAAACACGTTCCCAATCAGGAAAGTTCCTTTGGGACACATAACCGTAAAAGCATTTGGGCATTCAATGTGTGAACCACCTATTTCTCATGTTGCCCCATTGCAATATTCCTCTTCATTTTGTGGCACCTGATTCAAAATATCAACCATATGAAGCAGCAGGGAGAGACAGAAAACATGCAGCAAAGTGGCCCTGGAGGACTGGACTTTGAGACTCCTGTGCTCGTGTGATGATGATGAAAAGGAGGAACCGAGGCCAATGGGTTCCAAACAGCCGCAAGTCATGACGTTGAAGCGCTTGACAACGGCGCCCTCATGTGGCCACTGTCAGACACTGCATAATGACACATGGACGACGAACACTCGGCGTGTCCATCTTAGCTAGCTCAAAGCTAACCAGCGCGTGTAATTATAATCATAATGCATCAGTGTGAGCTGGAGTCTGTCCCAGCTGACTGCGGGCAGAACCTCCTGGAATGGTCGCCGGCCTACTGCAGTACACATTGAGACAAACAGTAACTATGAATGAGAAAATTCCCGCCGCATTTGTGAAGGGTTTGTGGCGACAATTTGGAAATGGGAAACAGGCCTGCCTGAAAGAGTTGATCCATTTAAAGCCTGAATGCTTTCGAATCTGCCAAAGAATGAGTCAATATTCTCAAGTCTTGGCTTTTGGTTGGATCATTAAAAATTGGGACCGAGGGGGTTTGTGAATGAAGTGCAATCATGCTAACAGTTGTTATGCTAACATTTGGGGAACTTTTGTTCTTCTTCCTCTTCATTTTGTGGCAAAGAAATGTTGGCTGTGATCAGAGTGGAAGACGGCTAGCTTTCTCACAAAGCACAGTTTGTGTTCCTGGTGATAACCTCATTAGGCCATGAGCCAATGAGAGCTGAGTGTGTGATCTAGTCTCCGCCCCTTTTCCTCAGTTACCTGGTGAGCGCCCCCATGGTTTTGCACGTGGACGCGATGGAGACGGTCCTGGTGCAGATGTTTGGGGTCACCCAGGAGGTCAGGGTCTACGTCTTCCTCAAGACCTCCATGGCGCCGGACCACAAGGTTCACTCTCTCACTCGTTCATTCGCTCACTCACTCACTCACTCACTCACTCACTCACTCACTCACTCACTCACTCGCACCCCCTTTAACTCCCTCTTGCAGGTTCTGTCCCGTCAAGTGGTGACTCTCAACAACCAGAACCAGCACCAGGCCATCGCCTCAGTGAGGGTGAGTGAGATCGACTCATGTACCCCGAAAACTCCTCAGAACTTCTCACGCTTCTTTGACCGACTGAGAATAATTTTTCACTCTTTCGACATCGCGCTTCTCAATAGTTGACGAACAGAGTCACAAAAAATGCCTTGGGGAATGATTGCTAACGTAGTCGCATGCGTTCACAATTGTTCCCGACCTTCCAATCATTCGGTTCTTCTCGTCTTCAGATCTTTTCCGGCCAGCTGGACAAGAGTGTGGATCATGTGATCCTTCACGTCCAATCAGCGGCGATCAACCAACATGTGTCAATTCCCGTCAGCCGGCAAAACGGCTTCCTGTTCATCCAAACCGACAAACCTTTGTACACGCCCACGCAGAGCGGTGAGACTCTCCGCTGGTGACAGGAAGTCGCCGGTTGCTTCCTGTGCTGTGGGCGGAGCCGAGGTGACATCACTTCCGTTTTCTGGGTTTGTAGTGAAGGTGCGTGCGTTTTCGTTGAACCAGGAGCTTCATCCGGCAAATCGCAGCGTCTTCCTCACCTTCAAGGTGGGCGGGAACCTCTGACGGACTGCCTTCTATTCATCCACTCATTCACCCAAGCATTCAGTTCCTCCACTAGTCATCCATTTTGTAACTCATTCACTCGCCCATTCATTCATGAATTCCTTCACTGGCTCACCCCTTCACGCACGGACCCTTTCATCCATTTAATCACACATTCACTTATCTATCCTCTCATTCACTCTCCCATTCATTCTCTCACTCACCTCTTCAGTCAATGAGTCATTCGTTCATTCACTCCTTCACTGACTAACCCATTCATACATTTAATCACTCATTCTTCACCCGCTGACCCAGGATCCCGATCATCAGACGGTGGACGTGCAAGAGTTGTTGGACCTGAACAACGGGATCCCATCCATGCAGAACCCCTTCAAGATTCCCATCAGACCAAAGTACTGACCCGCAAACCAGAACCACAACCTTCCCAGGGCTTCTCAGGATCTGATCTACTGATGTCATTCCAGGTTGGGAGTCTGGTCTATCGAAGCCTCGTATTCGGACCTCTTCAGCACCAAAGCCACAACACATTTTGAGATTCGGGAATATGGTGAGACAAAGGCGGGTCAATGGTCTGTGGTCTATGGTTGTGATCCAAGTTAATGTCTTGGTCTATAGTTCTGGTCCAGGTCCTGGTGCAGGTCATGGTCCAGGTGTGTGGGCCTGATCCTGGCCCACATTCTATGGTCTGTAGTCCTGACCCAGGATAAGGCCTGAGTCTGTGGACCTGGTCAAGTTTAAGGTCGAGGTGTTTGAAAATGTTTGTGTTGTCAGTTCTTCCCAGTTTCTCCATCGTGGTCCAGCCTGAAGTGAACTACATCAGCTTTGGGAACTTTAAGCGTTTCTGCTTCAAAGTGGAGGCCAGGTGAGCAAACAACTCCTCTTCAACCTCTGGCCCACCTCGATCTTCTGGATGGTGTTGTCCATCTTGTCCCGCTCTTGCTCTCAGGTATCTTCACGGTGCTCCGGTTCCTTTCGGTGAACTCTTTTTGCGCTTCGGCTACGTGAGCCAGAAGGCACTTCCTGTTATCATCCCACACTCCGTGACCAGAGAGCGAGTCAGACCATTTGCTTTTTCTACTTCGAGTTGCTCGAATGCGTGTGTTGAGTTTTGGTGGTGCAACTATGGATGTGTGTGTTCAGTTGTCGTCATCGGGTGAGCTGGACAAGTGCGTCAACATGGAGGAGCTTTTGTCCGGTCAAGATGGACCAAAAGACCTTCACGCTCTCATCGGGAAGTTCTTGTATATTGCCGTGCTGCTCCAAGAGGAATATGGTATGCACACACACACACACACACACACACACACACACACACACACGCGCACATGGTCAGCTCTCCCAACCCCCAACCCCCTCCTCCGTTACTCAGGTGGTATCAGCCAGGAGGCGGAGTTTTCAGCTGTGAAGTTTGTCAAGTCACCTTACAGTTTGACGCTGGTGTCCACGCCCCCTTTCATCAAACCCGGACTTCCATACACCGTCCAGGTGATGGCTGCTTCACCCAGTCACTCATTTACTCACTGACTCACATGCTTATTTATTCTTTCATTGACTCACTCATCCATCTAACTCACTCACTCACTCACTAACTCACTCACTCACTCACTCACTCACTCACTCACTCACTCACTCACTTCCTGAACTATTCATTCATTTGTTCACTCACTCAAAT